AGAACTTCACAGAACGTACTGTAGAGAAACTTATTTTCATTACTCATTCCTTATTCTCTTAAAATAGCAATCTGACATGTCAGCAGCTTTGGTATTACTGACTGTAGGTTCACAGGCTTCTCCTATGAACATTCTGTACAGTTTAATATGACACACTTAGTAGTTCTTTGTTTTTATAAGTGCATGCATATCTGTAAGACTGATAAATCAGACATTTCCATCTAAATGCTGAAGACCTTTTGTCTAGGCCAGACAGAGGGATAAGAAAAAGACAGTTCTTCTGCAGGTAGTATGGTTACCACCTGTACAACAATTCGTTTCTAAACCAAATAATCTACTCTGAAATCAGAAATCACTCTGATCCACCAGCAAGGCAAGCAACAGCTCTGTGCAAGCAACAATGCAAAGGGAAGCTAACACAGAGTCCTTAACTTCCTCCACTATGTCTCTATTTTTGTTCCTGACAATGCCCAAGTCTTATCATTAATGCAACTTTAATTCTGCATTTATCTGCTTCTATATTATGAAAAAAAATGTTTAGCAGCATGATTCATGTTTTTAATATGACACAATTTCATCACATATGAGAAGGCACTGAAGTTCAAGACAAGACATGTCTGATTAAATATGAAGGAACAAAGGAAAAACACAAACACATCTGATATAAAAGACCACACTACGACCTCAAATTTGTCTGTTAGCTAGGAAGCAGGAAATTACAAGATCTGGTGGACACAGGTAAGAAATGTTCTAGAGACAAGCTTAACAATTAAAAAGCATCAGTCTCCTTATCCTTGATGGAATCCTCTCAGTGAAAAACAGTCGATAGAGTGCTTGGTGAAAATGTAACTGGAAGCTTCCTAGAAAAAAAAACTAATTCACTTCAAATAAAGGGCCATTTTGTTCATTATGTAAAAGCCCCTAGATGAGTTCATGTGGCATTTACAGTTCTGACTTTGGTCCTTTAAAATATCTTATAGAAACTATATATTGCACCAAATGCTTCTGATTTCTTACATTTTAATTTATTTGTAGTGCAGTATTTCCTGTTCTCACACTTGAGCCTGACTGTCATTTTCACTGAGCAATACTCAGTCCAGTCAGTAAGCATACACTTTGTCAAAACCCTCAGAAGAGCCACAAGATTAGCTGCAGAACTTAGGTTAGAATTGCTTTAAGTAAAATGAAAGCTGGTATTTCAGATTTTTATCTATTCCAACCTAAACAAACATATGCACATCATCATTTTAACTATATATGCCTTTGAACTACAAAATTACTAACTGTAGAAAAAAGTAACCAAGAGCCCTGACCTATTACATTCAAGTAATTATTAGTAAGATGTCTGTTTTGCCCCAGCACTCCTAAAACTGATAACCAGAAAGATTACTTTACAGAGAAAACACACAGGTCAGAAGGGATATATGCTGCAGGTCTGCAGGTGACACTTTTTAACAGTGATGTAGTGTTAATGCACTTTGTTACAAATTAATCTGCTACATGCCATACCTATTGAGGGAAATGCAGAAAAAATTGCTGGGGTATTTGGATGTTTCACAAAACAACAGAGGTTTAAAAATAAAAGTCTTTGATGACCAGGCATCTCCTATTGCCTCAAAGGGTCAAGATTATCAAAACGCATTTTTCAGCAGGTTCTCTAGTTAAAGAACCAGGGTGGTAACACACATTCAAGAAGTAAGGGAACTAAGATAGCCTATGTTTGTGGTTTTTACTGGTAGCATTCCATCACACTTAATTCAGCTTTTCTCCATCATACCCATTCTGACAGCTAGAAAGACAAGAGGCAATCACATGGTGCTCCTGGTACTAAGACAGGCTCCTGTCAACTAGTTGGGTCACATACTACTACTACACCAGGTACACAGCAGTTGCTTTCACTCCAAAGGAATAAGGAAAGCAGAAACCATGAGGTCTTGTTTTCCTAAAAAAGGAAAGCTTATCAGAAACATTTATTAAATAGCTGCTACAGCAGAGAAAGTGGTTCCATATGCTTTGAAGACCCAGAACACACCTCCTATAATAATGGATCACATGAGAACTACAAAACACTCATACAGACAACAAATTTCCAGCTAGCTATGAAAATGATATTTTGTGTCATCATGTCTAATGCTGAAGAATGTTCAGTGTCAAATAATTGAGTGTTGCTGGTATCTATTACAAGGTTTCCTAAAAATAATACAGAATGAAAGATGTAAAATTGTAAAGATTCCACAACAGTTTATATCCAGTCATCTATAAGTTTCTAAAGTTTCTACATTAAGGCCAAAGGGACAGGGTATCCCCATGCTCCAGCTAACTAACTTTTGATACAGAAATGCTGAAATGATTTAAATTAGCCAGCTTGCAATCAGGCAGCGGAACAATTGGATGTGCAGTGAAGCAGTTCTGTGGAGTGTGACCTGTGAGTCCTTCAGGTCAGCAAGCTGTCCATGAGCCAGTAGTGCATCCTGGTGGCGCATTAGGAAGAGCATTGCCAGCAGGTTGAGGAAGGTGGTCCTGCATTTCTACTCAGCCTTGGTGAGGCACATCTGGATTGCTGTGTCCATTCCTGGCTTCCTTACTAGAAGGGAGTCATGGAGCCCCTGGAGTGGGTCCAGTGAAGGGCTAAAACCATGATTAATGTATGTGCATATTAAAGACATTTTACATCATTGCTCTATCCCTCAGAATATGAGAGAGAAAATAACTCTTACAGAATAAATGCATAAACAAGCAACAACAAAAAATCCTATTTTCTAAACACTCACTCTTTGGTTTAGTCAGAGAGAGAAATTTTACCTATTTAGGTAAAATTAATATTAAAATTAATAGGTAAAATAAAACTAGTCTAGTTGGAACTACTTAAACCAAAATAAAATCCCTACACAGACTCTACTTTAAGCAATAGTGCATTGGTTTTGGTTTATGTATGTTCTACATCAACTTAAGAAAACAATCAGTAGGCTCTATCCAACTAAGTGCAAAAGCTATGGGCTAATCTGATTTGCTTATATTGCCTACTTATATTACACATATAAGTAACTGATACAACTCCATAGATCATGTCCTTTATCCACAGAATTTAAAAAACAATAGAAGCAATATAAAGAAGCTCTATCCACTTATCTAAAATTACAATAAATTTAGTATTGTAAAGTATTGTATTCTTAAGAAAATGAGCTGAAATCCTGAAATGATGACTTCCTTCAAGAAATTAAAGACTGCCATTATTAGAGAAAGACAGATATAAACCCCACAATTATGCATTCATTTCTTCCTTACTTCAACAGTAAGTGACATTGCCCATAAGGAACAAACAGCACCTAAATCCACCAAAGAGTTCACCTTAATGAACACAATGCTGTATTGGCTTCTTACTAAATCCTTACTATGCAGACTTTTATGAATCCATTTTGTCTTATAAATCCTGTATCCTGAAGAGCTCAACTGTCTGCTCATGACACCTCACCACACTCCAGTCAAGGTCAATGATCTGCAACATACAAGAAATAAGGGTGCTCCCATAAACGTGACTGCACAGGAACTCTAGAAAAGCAGTCCACATGTACCAACCTTCAGGGTGTGCACAATATATAAGCATGGCTTTGTGTGAAAAAAGAGGCTTATGTAATTGCTCTTGAGTTACCATTGCCTGCGGTGAATGTGTTCACTAGTGAGGGAAAGGGAATTACATGTACATCTCGCCAGGTATGCAATTACGTATATGGCAAGAAAGTGTTCTTTCCTACATAAAAATAAAAAATGAAAACCCACAAAGTAATCACATGTGGTAATTTGTTGTTATAGCTTCAAAACAGCAAAAAAAAAAAGTGACAATGAAGTGACAAGAACAAGCACACAATTTTAACTGGCAGATATAAGAATACCCCACGTAACACAGCTACTGGCAACACTGCCTATAGTACACCGAAGGAGATTATGGTCAACACAAGGACTTACACAGAACAAAACAATTTGCTGCTATTGAAATTCTGTGATAGCAGCCTTCATGGTACTGCCACAAAATGGGCTTATATTGTGATCCATTGGGAATACACTTTTTTTTAATGTGGACAAAAAACAAAGTCTGAATAAAACTTTATATGATGTCTTGATTCTTAAATTAAAACAAAAAATCATAGTCACTTACAGAAAGTGTTAAATCACAGCAAAGGGCTAATTATACCATACTAACTTCCTTTTGTCTAGTATAAAAGGACATTTTTTTACTTTGCCTGGCTGAGTGTAATAGCCTATGAATTATGAGATCAAAGCAGCAAACTGTATGTTTTCTAAAGTAAGAGTTTCCTTCACCAAGTTTTACACTTACTACAGCTGAAAGAGCTGTGTGAAGGGATCAGCACTAAACCCAAAGGACAGGCTGTGCACAGCAAGAAAGAGAGCAACTCCCTCGTGCTTTTTGCAGGTCACTACCAAGGACCATGTTAGCAGATCCACACCAGACCCTTAACAGGCAGCTCTGCTGCTACCAGTAATTAGCTTGGACAGCTCTGGCTCCAGGAGTAGCAGCAAGGCTACACCATAATGAGCTCAGCTGGGATTAGCAGGACAGGGCAGGGAACCAAGAGAGCTGAGGCATTCTGCATTGCGTATGTATCACAGAGATCAAACAAGGATGGCTGGCTAGGTTATCCCCTCACCACCTCATTCCAAAAATGAAGCACGGCAGTGTGTAAAATACAGGCTAATGAAGAGCGACACCTCCAACAGATGAGAGCCACATTAATTAACACAATCCCTAGATCATGGAATACAGTTTCTGTTAGTGCTAGCAAACTTGTAACTTGTCACTGATTTAAGGGGGAGAGAGAAGGAAGAAAAAAAAAAAAAAAGCGCTGATGTTTTCCTTTTCTGCTTTTGGTAGATGCTTTTATAATGGAATTTTGCAAGGAATTCCTCTGGTATGGCCTGTAAAGCACTTCAGAAAAAAACCAGTATGTTTCTTTATTTAAACACCATTTAAGAAACAAACTCACTTCTCAATCAGCAGCTTTTTGTTCTCCCTTTTGAAAAAAGCCAGCTCATTCCACATCACATCACGATCGTCTTGACAAAGCTGACAGGAGCTTGTGTGTTGGTATCTGCTTTTAGTATTTTCAAAGCTGTTTATGAGTTTTAAAAGGTTGTTTGTTTTCAAATATCTAAATGCTTTGGGAGAACCAGAATAAAAGCACCCCTGCTTTCAGAAAATACAGATTTTTCAAGTACAGCATCCATTGAATCTGAATTTTGTATGAAATATACATTCTGAGGCATGAAACCTTAACTGTGGTAATAAAGAGAACTTCAATTACATAGTTTCGGATAGATATTGAGCTAGTATGACACCATGCCTCCTAGGTGATGTGGCAGAATAGTGTCACCCACATTCTGACAACATTACTTTAAATACTGCTATGGGAAAGAAGAAGTTAAAATCATCACGTAATCTCTTGAAAATTAAGGTAGAGTCATCAGCTCCTCTAACACCCCAGCAAGCCAATCTGGAAGTTGCTACTAATGCCCACTCTAAATCACACTGTTGTTATACAGTTTAATAAAGGAATTAACTATCTATGGACAAGATTATGTATTAAGAAAAAGCATATTGACTTTAGAAGCACAGAAAAATAAAATTATTTAACAGTTTTTCAGTCATTAAAGTATTTTTAGGTATTTTAATAATGCCAAAGATAAAAATTGTATTAAAAAATGCTTTATGGAATCAATTTAAAACTCTGCAATCCAAATTCCTACTGGGCATAGAAATAAACTCTCAGACAATGTGGTAGCCTCCTAAGGCCCCCATCATCTTTGCAGTCACGTACATCAGTGCAAGTTGTATGTACACTGACAGGTGGATTAGGTCCCATCAGCTGCCATCTCAATAACAGATACTAATCTATGAAGAATATGGAGAATGGGGTCCTCCATCACTTACAAAGGATCAGAAATGCCACATAAGAACCTGATACTGACTTCTTAATGCACAATTTACATTACAGCAGCACTATACAGCTTTTTGTGATACCAAAATAACAGGTCTTATTGTTACAGACTGCTTCTATTGGTGTCTTGTCTACTTTCTCTTGTTTAACTGTATTAAAAATGAAAACCAAACCTCTTTTAGTGTGACTTCATACAAATCTAATCTGGTAATAAAGATTATTGAAACCCTGTTATTTTCAGCTCATCTTAAATAGAGATGAAAAAATTAGATGACTAAGTGAAGACTGAGCATTATATTCTCCCCAATATCTACTTATCCCAAACACATTCATTATAACACAAGCTCGTCTCATTTACTTTAAACACAAGTCACCTTTGTCTCTCTTTCCCTTTTCTTTTTAATTTTTTTTAAACCATCAGAACCAAAACACCCAGTGCTTCACTGTATATCAAGTTTAAGATTTTAATGTCTTTATCTAGTTCAATTTTTTTTATCTTGTTAGCCTTGCACTGTCAATGGATATGAAAGCCTGTCTAGGTATAGACACAGAATTAAATAATTTCATTGAATTTAGTAACTATCATCCATAAGTCACTTCCAGATTGCACTAAATTTAAAGCACTGAACTAAAAGAAAAAAAAATCCATAATTTTCCTAAAAAAACCAAAACCATTTCATTATAATTTGCCTAAAGATATTTGCCATTATGCTTAAGTATTTTAAAAAATGCTCCTGTGTTTCCACCGATGCCTGTAGCAATTTTGTACTTCACCATTGTTTCCATCCACACCTTTTTTTTCCTTTTTTAAAGACAAATCGCTCCTACGTAAATGCTAGTATTTCAAAGCAATGCAAATCTACTAAGACAGGCAATATCATTACTTATATATAAGGAACAGTTTATCATTCACAGTAGGATGCTTTATGTCACCCCAGACTCTGAACAGCTACCAGTTTTGCAGCATTTTCTGTGACTCTCATTTTTCTCTCACTTTCTCAGAGATAAAGTTAGTGTCAAGATTAGTCAGTATTGTTCTAACTGCAAAAATAATTATTTTTAGTAAAACATACAAGTGTTTACTGAGCTGTTAGGCGCATGCTAAAGCCTTGTTAAAGCCAAAAGGAAATTACTTCTTTGAAACAGGTCCTGAAAAACAGCAGTGCTTGATAACTGAACTGATAAGAAATGCTTTCATTCCTCCAATTGCATCTGTTTACCAAAGTATCTGTATGCTAAGGACCTAAAAAAAGAAGAATTTCTGCATAAAATTTTCACTGTTCTGTATAGAGCCTAAGGGAGAATGATATACAGAATGTTCATTATGCAAATTTTATGTGGTAAAGTCTTTCCTCTTTCCATTAATAAAGATATATTACTGCATTTTTTGTAAAAATTATCAGAAATAATTTCTTTTTAAATAATTTAACAGATAAAAACACCTTGCTTTCATGCACATATTATTTTACTTTTCCCCTATAAGGAAGGAGATTTTAGCCTCAGTTAATATACGAATCACTAAATGTTAGAGAGGGTATTATTTCTATATTTTAATGAATAAAACTATTTTTAAAAACTATTTGAAACATAATGAACAACTGCTGTGTTACAGAAAATTAAAAACACACAGTCAACAAAATAAATGAGTGAGGAATTAGACAAACATAAGTAAGCAGTCCTAGCTGACCTTTGTCCAGTACTCAGGCTCTCAAGGAGAGCCTAAATGAAATAAGTCAAGGTGTCAGCTCAATATATTTCCTCTTGGTTTCAACTACAATTTTTCTCACATAGGGGTAAGCTATGTATTATGCTGTAACAGAAGATGGTCTTGATCACTACCCAGTAGCTTCTTCCTTCAAATCACATTCTCTTTTGAATACCCTTGTAATACTTCTGTTCAGATTTCTTGGGTAAGGAAAATGTTTTTAATGAGCTGTGTAACTTACCTGCTATTGCCCTCTTCCCACTGCTTTAATTGCTCTTTTAGCGCTCTGTAGTTGGTCTGAAACATCTGCAGCATTTCTCCGTGGTTTCCATAGGCTGCTCTTAGCTCATAAGATTCTGGAGACTGTATGAAACCAGAAAAACAAAATCAGAGTTGGACAAAATATAAGAGAGTGTTACGTAGATCAAATGAAAGGAAAGTTCTCTTTTATCAACTACTGTGAGACTCAGAAATTGAAATAGAAAGATCAGGACTCACAGTCCTTGAGGTCAAACTTTTCTTATTACTACTTTGGAAGAGTCTGCTGATTTGGCAATTCACTTAAATACTATTTTCATGCTGCTGAAAGTTTTAAAAATTTACTACCAAAACGGCAGCTTTTATCTGGTGAATGCATAAGCCTAATACATTTAAAAACACATAGACTGAAAAAGGACTGTTGGCACTGTTTTTCATTCAAACTACTTTCTTTCCTTTTTTTTCCAATGGAAAACTGTTCTATGTATTTTCAAGGGAAATACTGGCCACATGAAAAAAAAATTACATTTAAATGGCTTCAGGATTTCCACACGTAGTAAGCTGTTTCTGTAAATATATATATACACCTGCAACACCCAGACTTTGTCCTCTAGTAATGCAGCAAACAAGAAATAAAAACATTTTTTACAATATCTTTTATATAATCAAAACCATACAAAAAAATTACAGAACAAAAATTAAAATACACCATGATTATTATTACAGGATAACATCATGTAAGCTTAGACCCAGACTTTTCTAAATGACAATACAGTCCTCTGGAAAAATAACATTAAGAAGAAGCATTTAACACTATAAAGCAAGTCAAACTTCTCTACACTAGTAAAGAATTCACCAGCAAAGAATTCATTATACTGTAGCAAAATTTGCAATCAGAGCTTCATTTTCAGTTCAATGGGAGCTCTGCTTGTACAGCAACTACAGAACTAAATAAATCAGAATACCTTATTTGCAAGTATTTACACCGCTTATATGCAAGGAGGACTTTTCAGCATTAGTCAATAAATTAGACAAACCAATAGTCAGAGCTGCAAACAATAAAAATTGAATCTCATTATAAAAACATGGCAAGGGTTTCTAGAGTACTCATAACTACGAAATACCTATATTAAGCTTGGCTTATCAAATGTAGCCCAGCTTTCAGGACCCACAAAGTTGAAAGACACCAGCTTAAGTTTCAAATGGTACTATATACATAATTCCAGAAGTTTTCTGGAAGTGACTTAGGAAACAAAAAGAGAAGATTTAGGAACACAATCAAGTCCAAACTGACCCTACTACTAAATACTTTCCCAAAGTGGTGGTGATAGTTTTTTTTTTTCCTGAAACAACCTCTAAACCAAATACATTTTTAAATTTTGAATTGTTAAAAAAGTACTTTTGACTGGGTTTAAGTGAACTCATGTAAATACCACAATGATATTAAAAACAACCACATAAAGCACATAAATCTTAGACTAAGAACATAGAGATCATTACCAAGCTTTGCAAGAGGAAATTTTCACAAGAATACAATTACAGATGTTGTGTTTTCAAGAGAAGTTCATGAAACAACTGTTCTGAGATTGTTTGATATTGTTAGCAAAAACTGGTCAAGTCTGGCAGGGCACTAGAAAATAATGTCTTCAATATAAATCCTGAGAAGCTTATTAGTATCAATGCCCTTTCAGAGATGAAACCAACTGTAGAATTTGGCCTTTCCTATTAATGAATCTGCATTTTTCATTATTGCTTACCTGTTCTATTATCCATTCTGTTACAGTTATTGCTTTCACTTATCACTTGCTCTGCTCTTGCAGAAATAGAAATTAGACAATTAACTGCCCTAATCACTCTCTCTATTGAATTAGGCACTTCAGGATTTAAAATATTCACTGAAATTTCCATAATCTGTTAGATTAATCTCTTTCTGAATTATGTTATATTTCATAACTAAACTGTCTTGTACACAGTTTTGTATACATTCATGGACATGGGACAGAACAACCATCTCTCGCAGTGCTGGACCTCCAGATTATTCTCCAGGTGTACCCTGTCATCCATTATTCCCATGCAATAATGAATAACACGAAGTTCAATCTGCAGGAGGAAAAACCCCACTACCTATGCCTTTTTTTCTTTTGGCAGGCTGCTCAGACAAGTCAAAATATTCTAATCACTAATGCAAATTTTTATTGAAATTGACCTTCTATTACCGTAAAAACTACACTGATTCAATTATTTGACTATGCTTAGGCTTTCAGGAACTGAGGCCCCTAATAGTTACAAAAACAGGTTTTTTTACAAACAGTTATGTGGATAAAATGCAATATTCATGTATTTTCAGCATCTGAACACTATACATTGAATAGGACTACATATGAAATCTGAGGTAAATGTGAGTGTGGTCTTGCTAATACAAACAAGTATTAAGATGGCCCTGAAGACTGGTGTGCAAATTCTAATTTGATTTACCTCCAAAAACTTTAGAGCCTAAAAAGGATGAGAAAACTCAAAGAGAAGAGCTCCTCTTGGTTTTGAGACTTTTCCCGTTAAAGCCAAGATTATCTCCTCTAGGCTACACCAGTGACCACAGCTCTTGAAGCAATACAGGAGAAGATCAACGTATTCTTAGTTTGTATCAAATACCTACTTCTCAACAACCAAACTCTTACCCACTTCTTAAAGACCCACAGTAGACCGAAGTTTTGTACCAATCTAAGTAGCAGATTGATAATTTGTTATTTAAAAACAAAAAAAAAAAATACTCTTATTCATTTTGACGTTCTCTTCTGTAACCAAGGGTGCAATCAGGCATGCTCTGTTACTTTTTAGTATCCCAGAAACAAAGCCAATTCTGTGTAAAAACTCTGAATCTAAATGATCACCCCATTTATACTAGCAACGAAGATACTAAGAGCCAGCTTTTCTTGCTGAGAAATGAGTCAGCTGAGAGAACGGGAAAAACCTGTGAATGGGACCTTAACCTTTTCTGCTCCTTTGCAATACTGATTGAGGCATTTCTGAAAACTCCAAAAATAGAGCTGTTCTTTTTTTTTTTTTATTTTTACCAATTTTTTGAAAGTACTAATGTATAAAGTCACCATTTTATGTTCCAGACATGCATTAGTATGTGTATTGACAGAGCAACCATTTCTCTGAGCAAGAAAATTTCAAGTAATCATATAGATAACACTTCGTTTGAAGAGGCAATAATGCAAGGACCAGTTTTGAAAATGTGGGTCAAATCCATTTTTTGTTGCTAGAAACAATGCCTGAGAGAAGGCTAGCATTAGGAAATCACAGACTAGCAACATAAATGTTCTGACATTAACTTTATGTAGCTTAGTTCACTGTCATGCTGGCAGTAGCCTCATTGAAATATGAATGTAGTGCCACAACAGTGTTTTGTATGATGACCTGGGCCTCTACAGCTTCTTTTCAAACCATTAAAGCATTCTGCAAAAGAAGCCAAATAGATTGTAAAGAGAAAATGCAAGAAGTTAATGTGTTCCCTTTCAAGGGGAGATTTAGCCCTTAAAGACATCATGGATGTCTGTGACAGAGATCCCACACCTGTAACATCAAGAACCTGCACAGATTTTTAAATTATACTTTAAGATTAAATAGAAGATAAGTAAAGGCAGTATGGTGAATGGTACAAATCATGATATGAGGTAATGCACAGACAGTTGTTTCTCTTCTGCATCTGCTTTCCTTCACTCCTCTTTTCAGAAGAAATGTGTAGCTCTCTATCATTTAAGGCAATAGCCATAGACACTGAACTGTGTTTTGCTTCCAAGAGCAAAACAGCTGTAGCCTACAGTTCCAGAATAATCTGTAGCATCAGTGTCAGGCAGGCCAACTAAGAGTAATGAACAGAAAGCCTCCCAAAGGCCAATTCTCAGATTTATCTGGTGGGACATATCTTAGAATTTTCAACAGAGGGAAAAAACAAAACAAAGTTAATTTTCTGTCTCCCAGGAAAAAGACAGCCTGGAAGACTGAAATTGAAGTCTAAATAACCTCTCCTGGTCATATACTCTACATGTGTTAAGAAAATGCTTTAAATTCTCCCAAGTACATAGATGGATCAACTGTGACACTTTGCTGAAATATACTTCCAACTTATAGTTTTTCTAAAATTAACTCATCACTATGGTTGGTAGAGCTTCCAATTTTTTTCACTCACATAACTTTTATTATAGGATGTTTAATGCAACGAATTCTCCTTTAGGCTACACATACTTGAAAATATCTTTCAAATTACATAACTGAACAACGATAAGCAACACAAAAAAGAGAAGAAGGTGAGGGAGGAAAGTGAGGAGAGAAAAGAAGAGGATGAATTTTAAGTGTTTAAGAAAATATGACTCAGGGTTTGCATTTTGCATTCAGAGGTGCAATTTTAAACCAATAGTTTCTTCAAAAGTTACTGTATCTCTGTAGCAAAATGCCAAACCAACAAAAACACAGCTACAAAAATCTGTGAAACTGGGACAAAATGAGCAATTGTAAAACAAGCTCAATTAAGATTTTCTATGAAGGGGTGGAGCGAGGGGGATTGTTATTGTTTTTTTAAACAGCATCTTTCAGACCAGCAACTAATGGACCCACAACTTATATAATTTCCAGGGGTCTTTTTTAAGTTACTGAGTTCAGCATTTTAAAGTGTGGCTTTATGGTACAGAAAAGTCTTTGTACTTTCAGTGCTTCTACTTTCTGATTTACTTCATATGAACACAAAAATTTCTCAGAATATATGTACCCAAACACAAACTTTGAAAATGTATTTAACAAGTATGTGTTATTGATGACAGCTCAATTAAGCTTCCACAGGACTGCAAGATTACTCACACTGTAAAGCAAAAAGGTAAACTAATGGAGAGTGCTCTCTGATCCGAAGAGACTTACAGTCCACAAAAATATGTGTATTTTTAATTTTTAAAATGTCTGTTTGTTTTGGTATATCTTTATCTATGCAAGCTTATAGCTAGCAGGCTTTTTATTTATTTTTATTTAATGTTCACCTTTAGCTGTAGTGTCTTCTCTAAGTTTTCAATCTTCCTTTCAGCTATTTTAAGCTTCTTTAGTTCCTCTGACTCTCTAAAAGAGCTCTTTGGGGACAGAGACCTTGAACGTTTCACAGGTGGTTTCTGGAGAATAAAACAAGGACATGGTTGAACTAGTTGGAACACCGGATTATGAAAGACATGCAGAATTAAAGAAGAAGTAATTTTGAATACTAATAATGAATTATAAAAAAAAAATCTGCATGGAATACCAGAGAAATAACAAGCAGAATTACCACAGCGCTACCACTAAAGGTTTCTCTGTGACTCGTTAATGAGAATATTCATTTACATTTACATTGTTTCTTTCAGAATAATGATGTCCCATTAGGGAAGACTAAAGGGTTATAGACTCAGAAATGCAAGAAACCTCATTACAAAGGAGGGGATAGAGGCTGGTCTAATTGCTCTATAAGGGTCCAAGGTTACACTTGATAGGACAACCAGAAACAAGAGGGAAAGGATTTTTTTCCCTTTGAAATAGTTTAACACACTGTGAAGTTGAAGGAACAATATGCTTGAGGAATATAAATACAACAGACAGTAGATCTTATACCATAATGACCATATGGTCATTAACTATAATGTGACTAACTAGAGACAAGAATATGTGTTTATATTATGTACAGCTTCATACAGCAATCTGGAGAAAGAGTATGTGAAAGTAACACTTAAACTGGGCAGCCTTCTTGTTCACTCTATGTCATATGTCCTTATGGCAGAGAAAGAAAGGCCTCATAAAATTAGACTTTCAGATTTTCGGAATAACTTGGGTTAAGAACAGTGAAATACCAACACACACTTAATGCCAATCAGATAAAATATTGTTGTGCCAACACATAAAGTCAAACAGAAACTTAGGTAAATTGTGATTATTCCTGTTGCATTATGCCACTTTCTCTGCGAAAACACTGATAGACAATAAAAGAAATTAGGGATAAATTCTTCTTCAATACTGTAGATATCAATATTTTCACTAGTCCATTAAATTAATTTAATCTTGAAGAGTATCTTAATTAGCAACTGACATTTTTTTCTTTGACCACTACCTTCCAGCATGAAATATTTATAAGACATCATATACCACATTTTCATTTTAAATAGTATGGGTTTCCAAAAATAAGAAAAAAAAAATCTGTCACGAAATATCAGAGAACAGTAGCATCTCGTATTTATATTTATATTTATATTTATATTTATGAATGTAAATATTTCCAATGTGGTTTTGTCATTTGATTTCAGGATTCTTTTGTTTACGACACATACCTGAAACAGACATAAGAAAGTCCAACAAACAACCAAGAAAAATTTATTAGAAAAAGTGTTACACACTCACAAAAAAACCCCAACCAAAACCAAAACCAATCCAAACAAACAAAAAAAACCCCAACAACCCAAAAAACAAAACAGGCCAAAACCAAAAAAACCCCCAAGAGTAAACCACACCAAAACAACCCCCCCTGCCTCAAAAAAAAACCAAAACAACAAAACCAAACCAGAACTAACGTCTGGAAAGGATTTTAGTACATTTAAAATCCAAATACTAAAAAATATAATAATCTTCAAAGTCCCCAATTTTGTAAATAAAATGAAGAGCTTTAAAAAAAAAGCAACCAAAACCCAACCCTCCTATCCTCTACATTCCTTAATCATTATACACAGTCATATTATACATGACTGTACTATGCATTATTTTTCAATAATTGCTTTCTAGGTAAACTTTATGCTGGTATAGAGAAAATCTGGAATATACACAGTTTCTCTGAAATCAGATATAGAAGGTCAAAGCACTCTGCTTGCTGCCAAAGTGAAGGACAACAAAGGAAAAGGAGGAGATCAACCAGCACCAGGCTCTTAAGAATTAATAGGTAGAGAAAACCTGAGAAGGAACAGAGGAAAGAGAAAAAAATACCAAAAAAGATAAAATTCACTGTCTTGCTAGTCTAGTCACAGCTGATCAGATACGAGTATATAAGAATTTTTTATACATATATATATATGTATAGATAGATATATATATATTATACACACACTCAAGAGTTTATATATATAGCTACCTTGGAATGTGCTAGAGCTAACGTACATAAAAAACATCGAGAAAACTTTTAACTACTTATGGATATGGAAATGATTCCCTGTGACAATGAATGGGATTGGTGATATGTATTCTATAACTTTCACCTTTTTAGTGATCAGACTAAAGGTCTGTGGAGAAAGGACACTGGATCTGGGCTTTACAGTTGCACATAGGTAGTTTGAACTCAATCTCTGCTAAGGAGGTAAAGAGTTCTATCAAGACGAAGAAGACTGTGTAGTAAAATACACTATAATTGGATTGCCTGGGGCTGCTGCAAAACTCAGTTTGAAAGATGGCATCTGTAAAAATCTTCTCACAAGTGCAAACTTTACTGCTCTTGCCATCAAATATAAACATTAAATTTTTTATTCAGTCCTCATATTCTACAGAAAAATTTTGTCATACCTCTATTAAATATATACAAAAATGTATATAATGTTTCAAAATGTAATGTTTCAAAAATTTTCTACATGTTCATCTAGGACAGGAGAAAACAGGATGATAAAGGAGTAAAAAACCCTTCCACTTTTGTCAGTGAAGACTGTTTATCCAAGTCAGGAAAGGAATCCAGATCAGAATATTTTTCATTGAATGTTCCTTAAACATTTTTACTGAAGACTAAACCAAATAGCAGAAAACCAGAAATGAACAGAGTTTCTATTATATAATAGATATGAAATTTTGTGACAGAAGATTTAGCATAAAGAAATAGCAGTGGATGGGACACACATTAACTGATAATGGAGGCACACAAGCAGAAAAAGAAAATATGCCTATTTCTAGACAACCTTCTATTACCTGTCTGCACAATGAAAGACATCATGGGACAAAACTGCAAATAGCCATGTTCTTGAATTCAACAGGTTTCATGTTGAATAAAGTGCCAAAACAAGCCAAATAAAACAAACAAACAATGAAAACCATAAAATAACCAACAAAAAATAAAAAACAAAAAGAACTCCACCAACAAAAAAACCCCAAAACCCTTCCCTACTTTCAAACCAAAGTAGGGAAGTCAGAACTCCTCCTGAAAAGTCTTAGGAACACTTTTTCTTTACAGGCTTTATATCAATGACTGCCAAGATACAGCTCAGAGGACAGTGGGCAGAAATCATAATGTTTTTATCAATTGAAGAAACAGAAACATTGTTGAGGCTGAACCCAAGACTGACCAGATAGATGAGGGGGTTTTTAGAAAGAAAAATGCTAAATTCTTGATTCACTATGTTTCAACAGGAACTTTACTAGCACTGCAGGTTAACACATGTCTTTCAGTATCTTGATACTATAGACCTAGAAGAATGACCTATAAGTCTTCAAACACAACAGCACACAACTACACCACTTTTCACATAGACAGGACTATGATTGTTTCAACTGCCTCTAAATACACACTTAACAATATCATGAAACAGGACATCACAACCACATTTAACAAAGATTTTAAATGCCTCTCAAAGAATAAGTTGTTTCTATTCCTCAGTACAGCTGTAGGCAAGAGATGTGGATATCTGCAATTCACAAAGAAACCAACACAAGGCTATAGATGTATCTATGCTGTTGCATATGTAAACACAGCCAGAAGCATGCAGTCGTGTGGCCATACATCTCAATTTACCGCAGTAGTGCCAAGTTTCTGTTTGTACCAGGCTCTTCTTTTCAACAACTTTCCAACTATTCCTTCTTTCAAAGCCTTTGAAACCTTTTTAGAGCAGTAAGTCATCAAAGCAGTGTCATTCTGATCAGAAGTGATTCCATGCTTATTTGTTCTTTGTATCCTGGGAATGTATATATGGGGGAATGAAGGACAGCAAAATAGTCTTTGTAAAAGTCAAAAGGATCATCTTTTTAAAACAAACATTGAATATCCCACATACTCTTTCTGTGAAATCATGTGCTAATGACTTCTGATTTTGTCATAAAAGACTGAAAAACAAGGGAAGGAGAAGATAGTAAAAGGAAAAAGGGTAAAGTACTAGCACAGCAATACTACCTTCTCCATTTTAGAAAATCCACAGTATTTCCACAATTTCACTTACTGTGTTGCCTTACATACAAAGGAGTTAAACAACTGAGTTCCCAAAAGTTTTAATAGAGACTTGTGCGCTCTTGTGAAAAAGTGGACATATCAAACAGCCTTGACTATTTAAAGAGCATAACTCAGACCTACATATCAAAACAGAAAGAGATTTTCTACAATAGGTTTTAAAATTCGTATTTAGTTTTACTCAAGGAAGGCAGTGTAATTGCTTTATTTTGACACAGCTCATGACAAACACAGCAGTCTCATTTACTTTCCCCTGAGGAAACAGAAAAAGACATTGTCGGGGGGCTAACCTTGGTAAAGGGTCAAACACCCACTCAACTGCTCTCCCAGTTTCCTTCCCCACTAGGACAGGAGAAAACAGGATGATAAAGCTGGTGGGTTTACCACTCAGCATCATGGCCTGACTCGACTTGAAGAAAATTTATTTAAGCTACTGCCTCTTAGAATATATTTAGGTTGTAAGAAATAAAGAAAAAAAATTAATGAACACTGCCTTCCCTACCCAAAAGAAGCTCCCAGCTTCCCAGGCAAAACTTCATTCCATAGCTCCTGACTCTTTTACCACCTGCTGAACCATGCAGGCAGAAGGTTTACAATCAATGTTTAACAGCTCCCATTGGGCCATTCTTTCCTCCTCACACTTTTCTCCTACTCCGGCACAGGGCCTCACAGGCTGGAGTCCTCCAGGATAAACCTATTCCAGAGCAGGTCTTCAATGGACCATAGCTCATGTAAGGGAGGAACCTGCTCCAGTGCCTACTCCCCTCCAGAAGCTGTGATTTCTATGAGCAAACATCCACTTGCTCTGGGCTCCTCCACAAGCTATATTATTGACATCTGCTCCACAGTGATCCTCTCCCTGGGCTGTAGAGAAATACCTGTTTCCAGCACAAGAAGCAAACCCTCCCTCTCCTCCTTCCTGACCGTTTGTCAGGCTGTTTCTTACCTTTTGTTCTTCAGTCTGTACTGCCTGTGTAGCATTTTGTTTTTTCTTAAGCACATTTTCACAGAAATGCCCACCACATGCTCCTGAAAAAATGTTCTAAAGCGCGTCTTTTCCCAAAACTAACATACAGTACAGATCATTAAGAAAGAACAAGCTATACATTTTTTAAAGAAAATGTGATGAGATACCATATTCAGATAAACTAGAAGATTTCAGAGGAAGTGGACATGATGGTCCACACTAGTGAATTATTTATACCATTCAAAATCACGTTCACCTTTGCAACCTTGTTAACAGTTTCCCATACTCTATACAATCACAATAAAAAATAGATGAGAAAGAGTCTGAACACAATGAAAAGCATCATGATTTCAGCTAATTTAATAGATCCATTTAATAATGGAATTATTTACAAGAGTCACTCATTTACTGTAGCTCATAGGTGTTGTTACTGTTATTTAACGCCTAAATCAAACAGTGAGACTCCACAAAAGAGGCAATTCAGCACCATACAAAGCTGAAAGTATAAGCTTCAAAGGATATTGTTGTCATTCTTCCTAGAAAAAAATACTATATTCCACTCCAGAAGTCAAGAATTTTGGAAAAAATATTTTTCATTTAAAAAACAATAAAAATAACCATTTATATTTGTCTCACTTTCCTTACAGTGAAAGATGGTCATTCTAATAAACACCACAAAATATCTGATAAATATTCATTTTAGCAAACCTACAAAGAATTTATCCTGCAAATAGTTCATTTAATTAAGAATCCCTTATTCAGTATTTAATAAGGTAAAACCTTCTACTCCCAACAGCTATTTTAACAAGTCTTTGGCAGATAACACAGGAACTATTCAAACAAGCTTCCAGAATTATAAGCAGCGTCAACAGATATTAAAATTATTATCTGGGCCCTTGAGCAAAAACGTTTGGCTTCACCAGCCTGACTTACACACAAATACACCAGACAATAAAACTACCCTACCTCATGCTTTCTTCCAGTCCTTATATTGTTGCTTTCCAGAGTATCTGCAGTGTACAAATTATGCTCTGCTAGGTTAGGATTCCCTTCCTTCAATTTTTTCTGTAAAAGCTCCATTTCAGATTCTTGCACTGTAATATAGTCCTCTAGCTCACTTAAAGAAGGCTGTTGAAATACCTAGAAAATGAAATAGAGGTATACTACATTGTTAACAAAAAAAATCAGATGCGTAACACACCATTTACTTAAAACTGCCTAGAGAAATATATTAGCAATATTAAAGAAACATGTAAAAGCTGCAAATAATTCTGCTCTCATAAATTACCCATGAATGCATATTCAAAACCAGATCTCAAAATATTAAGGAAACATTTTTAGACCACCACCCTCTTTTCTAAATCTAAATGTATGTTCTTAACAATGGCTGTTTTATACAGACATTTCTTCTGCATTTATTAGACAGTAATTATTAGACAGTAATTTGTATGTCACATGCTATTAAATTTCTTGACAGAGTATTGCACCTTCTGGACTTGTTTCTAGTGAAATTTCAAGTTTTAAGTATCACTGGCCAAACAAAAAAACCTTAACTGCATATTCTGGAACTAAACATATTGTTAGTTAAGAACTGCCTCAGAAAAGTACTTTTTTACTGTAAATCTAAAACTTGTATCCATAACATCCTTAAAGAGCACAAGTGTTGTGGTCAAACTGAAAACTTAAAGGAAAAAATAGACTCTAGCTCACAGTGTTGCTCAAGGTTGGTACTTTATTTTGTTAAACTGTTGAATTCCAGGACCTTTCCTAGCTATCAATCCACGTGCAGCAATTCCTTGGCACAGTGCAAGGCTGCTGCACAGTGATCAACTTACCTAGCTACCAAACCTTTTCAGAGAGGACACATTTCAGTGGTAGCAGCTCCTGTAAGTTATAACCCTGATATTCAGTAGCAGACTCATGTATGCATGACCAAGGGTGGTCAAGTTAGCATGGCTTGACAACTGACTCCTGGTCAGTTGAGTTTTCATTACCAGGTGTGATCACACCCCATCCTGTAACAACCACTGGGCAAAACTTTCTTTCTTAGTGTAAGCAGCAGCAATATGCCTGTTGAGTCACCTTACGGCAATCATAAAATGAAATGCCGCCTCCTCCTCAGTGCCATAAGGCTGGGGACAGATATTCATCTTTTAACAGCTGTGCCAGAGAAAGATGATATAATTCCCACATGGCCAATGCATCCAGGTAGCTGGAGGTTAAAACCTCAGTGCCATTGCTGGAGAAGGAATGACAGCCTCCCTAACTGATTGCATAACTAAAAGGGGTGGGTAGTTTAAAAGCCAATGGAAATGGCTTGAGCTGACCTTGGACTGCATTGATGAGGGGAAACTCATAAAACTCTATTGCCAGTGGTGTTCTGACAGCAATGATGAGCAGCTGGCAAGCAGTGAGTGCTTCAATCAACAAACTTGATCCAGAAGACACGCTCTTAAGACTAACTAGAAGTTTTATTTTATCTCTTATTAACAACATCCTGACAACATCACTTGCTTTCAACTGTGCATATTCTTAAGACAAATACTCATTTCAATAGAGAAAATATTATTTGGTACAATCATCACATGGCACTGTGTTCTCAAACACTGGTGTTCCCTACATAAAAAAAGTCAGGAATACTGACAAAAATTACAAAAAGCGGTGTAAAAAAAAAAGGTTAAGTAAATGAATCTCCAAATTCATGCCAATCAAGAAGTGAAGTGGTCCAAAGTTGATTAAAATCAATCAAGCACCTTAGTAAGCTTAGTAATTGTCAGAAACAGACAAATAGGCACAGACATTTTATTTATGCAGAGTATGCTTTTCATAAAGCCTAAGATAAACTCATTATTTCAACAAATAAATTACAAATTTAAGATATTGACCACTTTTTTTAGAAAAACCTCAACTCTTCATATAGAAAGTATAAGACATTTGTCAGACAGTAGAAGTTGCCTGTGCTTTTGCTGACTGTTCCTTAAATAAATTCTGTTCCTCATTTTGCATAGTTTAGGCCATACGTAGTTGCAAACAGATGTCATTACTACCTATGATCAGTAAAATGCCTGTTTATAACCACTAGCTCATGAACACACAGGGAAAAAGAAAGAAAAACAAGAAAATGAGAAGTAGACAAGCCATGCAATCAAAATAATGCTTTAAAGAAAACTGGACTTCACGTTTGTTTGAACAAAACCTGAGCATTATATAAAAATGCAAAAAATCCAACAAAACCAAGAAGACAGAAATAGTGTCAGTAGATAAGGGAAATGTAGTTGCACTCAGGCTCTGGAATTTATTTTATTACTTGAATTTTACTCTTTTTACAAAAGAGAAATACACCTACCAACTTGACACACACATCTTACTGATTTCTCCGATGCATGTAAAAAAAGAGCTCCATGTGAAACACAAGCTTTAAAACTGTATTAGTAACTCAAAAAAGAGTCAACAACTTCAATCTGTTACAACAATTTAAATTCACATTCCTGTTACTTTAAAAAGTCTACACCTGTTAAGTGCTCATAGAATTATTTAACTTTAAAAGGACCTTTATATCCTTGAGTCCAGCTTCTGCTGCTGACTTTTAAGCTGTAAGAATTACAGAATGTCACTAATTATTAACTTCTTATTGTATCACTACTTTTTATTTTCTTGTGTAAAAAAATGAAATACTGAGTACTTTAAAACATAACTCCATTTAAATTGACTCCATCAGTCACAGACTATCAAAACCTGCTCCGCTTTGTCATGCAGGTTCTGCTGTTGACTTTAGTATGACCAATTTATGAAAAGTATTATTCTTTATTTGCTTTAAGGTTATTTTTCTACTCTTTTCTTCTTCCAAAAGAGATCCCTAGAAATTGCCATGCTGTGATACTTACTTAAAATAAAATACCATAAAGTATTTTTATGGTAAATTTATCTTATTTTCTAATAAAACCCTTACAGTCTCTGTCCACATGGCTATGCAGACATATTTCTTGGAAAACTAAATCAAACAAATCAAGTCTTAGATCTTAACCAACACCTCCAAAATGCCTATGCTTTCACCTTAAAATATTCAGTAGATTGTTGTTAACAAAACACACTTACCTATAGAATTTGAGTCTATGATATCCTCAAAACCTCCTCATTTTTTAAGTATACTTGTGGAATTTTTTCAGCTTCAGAAATTCTAAGAACCCAGATGTAATTGATTAAATAAATTTAAAAACAAAAGTTTTGCTTATCAGTGGACTCCAACTCAAAAGGAGTTTGGTATAATTTTCTGTTAAACTTTACATATCTTTGAAAAACTGAGAAATATTCTTTTAATTTTCCTAGCCTGAAGACTTTTTTTATTCAAATATAAGAGAAGGTTGAACATTAATTTTTTAGACAAGAAAGAAGACCTTCCCAAGACAGAAAGCTGGGTGAAACTTCTCTCGCTGGTGTTTTGTTTTAGGTTCATGTCAATTTAATTTATTACTTCCAGAATTCTGTGGTCCAAGTATCTTCGGATAAGAGAAAAAAAATTCTTAAAAATTATTAAACCCAAACTATTTAGTAAAAAGATTTGGTTACTATGAGAACAACCAACTTCTTCTGTATAAACACATGACTATCATCAAACTAGAATTTGAAGATCAATGCATGCAGAAAGAGTGACATTTTTACAAGGGCAAGCAGTGACAGGACAAGGGACAATGCCTTCAAACTTGGGGAGTTTGAAAGAGGGGAGACTTAAATCAGACATTATGATGAAATTCTTTACTGTAAGGGCGCTGATGCATTGGAACAGGTTGCCCAGAGAACCTGTGGATGCCCCACCCCCAGCAGTGTTCAAGGCCAGGTTGGATGGGGCTTGGAGCAACCTGCTCTAGTGGGAGGTGTCCCTGCCCATGGTCACAGTGGGGTGAAACTAGGTGATCTTTAGGTTCCTTCCAAGACAGGCCATTCTATGATTCTATGAAATGCAACTCCATCAGACTCTCAAAAAGAGATATGACCTTTTCTTGGATTTTCACTTTTTACATCTAAACTCTTATTGGTAATCTAAGAACTAAGGAAGTATTACAAACACTAAGTCCAAAAAGGCAAATAATTTGGGCTATAATGGAACAACAACTTTAAAATCCTAACGCTATCGGAAGAAAAAAGCAGAATAGTGCTTTCAAGGCTACATAAATCAGTCAACATCTAAGGTTGGTATGAAGGATGGAGTCCAGTTTCATAGTAAAGATCAGAAATCTGCAATCCAGAAAATTGCAGTCTGAGAGGCAGCGCTAGGTTCTTCAACAACTTCTGCCTTAAAATTATCATTTTTCATATTACAAACTGAAAAAGTGACTCACAGAGTAACTCAACAGAGAAGTCCATGTAGTTCACTTATAAGCCTATTCTGAATCCTATATATATAAAAAGCTTTCTCTTAGGTTTGAGTATCTTAGATTCAAGTCCTACTGTATTACAAGGATCAGCTTAATAGAGCAATGGTGTTCTCTTTCAGACAGCAAAATCAGTTTACACCACGTGCTATTTTACGAAAGATTATGTGTCTACTCTGATACTGAAACTTACCCTAGAGGCAAAATATATAGTCCAAATAAATGTCAGAACTTGTATTTATGTTCTAAACAACAAATATGAGCCAAAAAATATTTATTTCTATCAAGTAGATATCTCAGTACTCTTACATGTCTTTTCACAGTGAGACTCCAGTGATGGTTTTCTGGATGCATTAATCAAGCTGAAGCACAAGCACCATTTGGTAAGAAATCTGTAGTATATGGGAAATCATCCACTGTACTTACAGAAGGGAATCCAATACCATTGTTGTTACCTATTAAAAGTAGTACAAACAACATGGAAAAAGTACAGCTATGCTCCACTATATTTCTATATTTCTGCATGACTTGTCTACACTGGCAAAAGAGAGCAGGTATCAAAGGAATGGATATCTAAGAGCTTCAGGACTAATTACACAGCCTAATGTGTAACATCCTGGTACCTGCTTGTGCTCAGCTTTCTCAGCACTAAGCTATACTAAAACCAATTGCACTGTACCAACACTGTGGGCTAGGAGAGAACAAAAAGAGCCTGGACAGTCCTTCTGTGACTTAGATGCAAGCTCAACTCTGCTTCAAACTGGTCAGAAG